ACACCCTAAAATTGAAGAAAAAGTTTTGGAATTTGTACGTGAAAGGAGGAAGAATCGACAACCTGTGACTAGTGACACCATAAGAAATAAAGCAAAAGAGGAGGCTGAAGTTCTTGGAATACCGAAACAAGAGTTTAAGGCTAGCCGTGGATGGGTGGATCGGTTTATGAAGCGGATGGGTTTATCTCTAAGACGCCGTACAACAATATGCCAAAAGCTTCCTGCAGATTTATGAGGGAAAACTACTAACATTTCACATGTCTTCTCACTTCGGAAGGAAAAGCGGTATGTCATCACTTCGAAAGAAAAAGAATTTTTAAATGGGGCAAATTGGCAACGCTCGAGATGCCAATTTGGTTTGATATGCCTTTTAACTACAACATTACGGAGAAGGGGACTAAGGAAGTTATCATCAAAACTTCGGGATGTGAAAAACAACGCGTAACAGTGATGCTGGCAATAACAGCAGACGGGTGCAAACTTCCCCCTTTCTTAATCTTCAAACGGAAAACATGTCCTAAAATCCCTAAGAATGAAAAGCTGTTCCCAGATGATGTCCTGATTCGAAACCAAGAGAAGGAGTGGATGACGGAATCATTAATGCTCGGATTGGCTCCGAAATGTATGGAAACGCCGTCCCGGTGGGCTCTCTAATCCACCATCAATGCTTTGTCTGGACACATTTCGTGGTCATCTCACCGACGACGTAAAAAAGAAGATGCACAGCCTAGGCAGTGATCTTGTTATCATTCCTGGAGGGATGACGTCTGTGTTACAACCCCTGGACGTTAGTATAAATAAACCTTTTAAGGGGTACGTTCAGGCGGAGTACGAAAAATGGTTTTGTGAGCCAAATCGTGTATTGACCCCGAAAGGAAAAATGAAGCGTGCTGCACCGCACATTGTTGCACACTGGGTTTCTGCTGCCTGGAAAAGCATCGAAGCACCAATGATTGTGAAATCTTTCAAGAAATGCTGCATTTCAAATTCATTGAATGGCAGTGACGATGAGGTGCTCTGGAGCGCCGAGGATGACGATGACGATGATGAGGAAAGAAGAAATGAATCTGCTTCTGACGAAGAGAGCGGCGAGGATTCCAGTGATGAAAACATTAGTGAATAAAGACGTTTACTATTAATCACTGATTGTAGAAACTGTTAGCTAGATAGAAATGTTACGATTTATTTCATGTTCATATTTTACTATAGGTACCGTATATACGGTAGTGCTAATTAACAATGATTGTTTCACATGACAATAGCCCACTAATAGGTTAATTCTATGTTCTGCTACTTTATGTATAAATCCATTGTTGTATAAAATATGGTATCTAAATTTAAATAAAATTATCATACCATTAATTGATAGTTTATATACAAATCCATTGTTGTATAAAATAAGATTCAATAAATTCCTCATATCATTGATGCGCATTACATTCGCCGACAAACAGTTTTTTTATTATTTAAAATTTTAAAATGGGGATGCGCATTCGCATAAATACGGTAAATATAATTAACCATTTTTTTCAAAACTTTTGTTCATATTCTTAGCTTAATTATTAATTTATTTATGTCCAATAATTTGTATTATGATTATGTTGTATCCTGTATATTATAGAGAAAAATATAAAAGGGTCAATACTCAATATAACCTGGGAAACCCTAATCTAAATCATAGTTATATTAATTAAGACACAATAACATGCCGCATAGTTATATTAGTAAATATTTCTATCTTGAGATAGTAAAATGAAATCTTTAGTGAATTATAAATCAGTGTGGTTTATTTCTTCGCATACTTCCAAAACTATTTCTTTATTAACTTTTTTCCTTAAATTTACTATACTATAAATACGGTCATTTTTCACCAGCAACAATGACACAGTCTTTCAGTGTGACATAATGAGAATGTACTAAGACAAGCTAAATACAAAAGCACTCCAGGCTTGATCACTTGCAGAGCCAGCTCCAGAATATTCAGTGGCATGTGTGAAATTATTGTTGTGCCCACCCCTTATATATCATAAATTGGTACATATACTAAACCTTCTTTTCTCAATGTAAGGTACATATTTAAATGTAATAGAAGATGAAAAATTGTATGAGGTTAAAAATTCTAGATAGCACACAGTTGTTTCATGTCACCTGAGCTTGCTAAAACCTAGGGGATAAAGTGCCCAAATTCAAAGTAACAACTCAGAAATCAGTGAAATTCATCTTATTCTTCAAGGCTTATAACCATTTTTGGAATATCAGAATTAAATGCCATATATAGTACAAAGTCCGAAATCCGGACATCCATTATCCGGAATGATCTAAAATCCAAACCTCAAAACCACCAACAATGTTTTCTTGTAGGCTTTATGCATGTGCATTTGTTCATTCAGGACTCAGATACATTAAGCATGGGTAAGAAATAGACATAAGTATAATAAATAATTCAACTAATACAATTCCAGCTTAACTGTCTCAGTGCCCGATAGATGCAAGATAAAATTTCATGGAACAACTTGTCATTAGTCGCTGAGCTCATGATGTATAGCCCAATATTTATAGTGAAGAATAGCTAAATTTGATGATGACAGCAGCTAATTTTAAAGGTTTTTGGACATTGCAAAACAAAGGTGAAATTTTTCAATTAACAGATTTTGTAAAGAAATGTGGAGAAGCAGTAATAAATGAGGATGATATGAAAGAAGTTTTTCATTGTGATGATAATGCTTCTCAATCATCAATCAATTAATGAATGGCGAAATCTGTAGTATGGTTCTAAACCCAGAAAATACCGCTACCGATAGTGAAGAAAGTGACATAGAAAATACTGAAAACAAGAAAATTTTGATTAACAAGTTAGTCAGAATTCTCGAAACAGCGGTCACAGGACTTCAACAATGTAACTAAACAAGAGATTATGTCTATCTACAAAATTAAAGAGAAAGTATTAGCACAAAAAATGAAACAACTTACATTGAAAGAAATGTTTAATAAGGTAAACAAATAAATATTAAGCTTTTTGGTACTAATCGGTTTTGATGGCCATAACAAATTGCCAAACTATTGTTGATGCCAGTGCTGATAAAAATAATTGAGGCAACCCTAACGCAAGAAAGGAAGTATAATAGTAAATAACTATCTAAGATTGGTGTTTTAATTTAGATGAAAGGTTAATTTCATATGATACTTTTTTATTGTTATAATTTATATAAAAAAAAGGCTAAACATGACTGAATGGAAGCATAAGAGTAAATAACTATTTCAGATCATTATTATAATTTATATAAAAATTGCTAAACATAACTGAATGGATGCCTGCATCGCTATTTCGCTACCAAGTTATCGCTAAAGCATAGTTTCATCTCATTGGTTGTTTAAACATAATTTTCTATAATGAATGATGCCTTTTCTTTGAAAAAATCCTCGGTAAAGTGCAGAATCGCCCACTTGTTTGTTTGCCGCTTTTTACAAAGGTAAAAACAATTGGATTTTTGTCAATTTTCTTTTACTTTTTAAGTGAAAAGTGTGTGTGCAGTGAGATTTTTCTGCAATTCTGTGATTTTTTTTTAAGTGAAAAATAGGTCGATGTGTACATGGATACCGAGTATGTGGAGTTCTTAAAAACGTGTCAAGCAGTGGGTGATTCTGCACTTTACCCAAAATTCTATTGCACACTTTTTGTCATGGGCAATTCCCCAATTGTTAAATCCATAGGATATCAAAAAAGAATTTAAAATCAAACAAGGATTTAAAAATTAAACTAGTATTTCAATGCCGTCTTAAGAAATATAGAACTATATAAAGTTACACAATCTGAAATCAGCACATATGCTAGATTTGGCGCACTGTTAAATGGCCGCGTTTGCTAGAATTGGTGCTTTTGCACATACATTTTCGCTGCAATTTTTTTACGGTCCTCAAACTGAATAGAACCGCTTTTTTTTTTTTGTAAATTTGGATACCCTTTCGATTATAAATACTTCATTATTTCATAAATCAAGATTTCATATTTTTAATTTTATAATTTCTATACCATCTTACTAGATTTAAACTGATGATCTAATATCCGGAAACATCCCAAATCCGGAATTGCCAAAGTCTCAACGAGTCTGAAATTTTGGACTTTTTTTTTTTTTTTTTTTTTTTTTTTTTTTTTTTTTTTTTTTTTTTTTTTTTTTTTTTTTTTTTTTTTTTTTTTTTTTTTTTTTTTTTTTTTTACTTTTTACTGTAAAAGCATTTTCAGAAGAAAATCATGAAGAATATATCTGCACATATATAATTTTTGATACGTTTCCGTTATGCGCTTGCATGCATTTTATGGGATTTTTTAATTGTAAACAGTTTCTAGTTATAAGATCAGTTTGTAGATGACAAATATACACACAGTGTGGCATATGAAGGCCAACAGATCAACACCTAAAAAGTGTCAAGAAGCATTGCATGTGCACAATGGAAGGGAATGCTATGCTTAAAATTTGAAATTTTAATTTATTTAATTATTCATCTAAATCTGCGAACCAAACGATTTGTCAATTCTCTTCTCTCCTGTAATTGATTTCTTACAAGTTCAGTGGTTTACATGTTTGATTTTTGTATTTTACCGTAATGCATTTGAAAATTTACTGAACAATAAACATGTGGCGACAATTATATTCTGCAAGAAAAAGGTCACCCTTATCGATTTGATTTATCGTAGCTAGGGTTTTCAGCGCCCACGGGCAAATGAAAATTTCGCGCCCCCTACTGCTTGCCAAGGATGGAAAACATTTAATTCTAACATGTCGTAACATAAATTTGGCGCCCCTTGGATTCTGCGCCCAGGGACAGATGTCCCCCCTTGCCCCCCTCTAGCTACGCCCCTGTGTGTCTCAGAAATCCTAGATAACATATAATGAAATGTGATTACAAAAATATGATCTAATTTATACTGTTCTTCCACCCCCACACTTTTTTTTTTTTTATCCAAATGAAATAAAAATAATTCTGCATACCAGTTGACTTACAATTCTAAGTTATGGTCTGCTATGGGATTCGAATGAGCTCTTTGACGGTAATATCTTTTTTGTGGTAAATGTACGCTAGTCATTTTATCCCCGCTCCTTGCTATACACAACGGAGTAACGAGATTTATTCTGTTATATGAAGTCGTTGCAACGGAGAGTCCAGGCGCATTGTTTATTTTTAACAAAAAGGTGTTGCCAAATTTTGAAAATCTAATATTTACAAGGAAGCTAGACTAGGGGCCGTATCCTCCTACTGTGCGACAAGATCTCGATACGAGAGTGACGTAGCAAGCGACTCCTTTTCGTTCGACTGCTACCAACGATTGAGCGGTGGGAGGATGGCCAACTAGATAGATACCTAGTTGACCTTGGTGCGGGGTAAAGTTAATTTCTACTTTCCCCCTTTCGGTTCTGATCCAACTTGGCTGATCCCTCTTGAAATATCTCTGTGTCAGCTTCGCTCTTTAGATTTCCTCTGCATTGCGTTTTGTTTAACATGCTTATAGTTTGAAATATAACTACTGATTGTACTCTGTGAATAGCTGTGCGAATAATTTTTGTGGAAAATTCCAGAACTCCGAGGTGTTACTTTTGGTAAAATAAATTTTATTAAGTTGTCATCAATTCTGAGTGCATTCAAACTGTTACGAACTCAAACGCACGCAACAATATATATATATATTATTATATACACCACTGGCCATTAAAATTGCAATACTAGGAAGGAATGATCTGACTTATGTCAAAATCATATGAAGGAAAGAAGAAGTTGGATGTGCAAATGATTAGTATTTTAACGCACTTAGACGACGCAGGAGGGAGAAACGACATCTGAAACACAGCATAAAAGAAAAGTTGTGTAGTGGATCATTCAGAAAATGTTTTTTAAGATTGGCGTATGCTCAGAATATCGTGTTATGCCTCGAATAATAAGAAATGCTTACCAGTAAGTTTGGGAATACGATAGAGGCAAGATCGTTGCCTATCGAAAGTGTAGATTATCGTTCCGTGATATCGCCTGTCGCACTGATCGACATCCAACCACTGTCATGCAAATATGGAATCAATGGATTGTTGAGGGTCTTACTGAACTGCATTCAGGATCTCAACGCCCTCCCATAACTAATGCCAGAGAGGACAGGCATCTTGTGAGATCAGCCCTGCAAAACCGTACCACCACATCACGGATCATTAGTCAGGAAATGGGCATGTTTACAGCACATCCAGTATCAGCTCGTAAGGTGCGTCGACGTTTGCAGCAGCACTATCAGCATGGTGTGGACTATCAGCACGGTGACTATTACTTCGACTTTCCTTGAAAATGCAGCAGAGACGGCGACTATGGTGCACCAGACGTCAAAGCTGGATACAGTTGTGACACAATGTCACATTTTCAGACGAGTCCCGTTTGTACGTGCAGTGTTCTGATGGACGTATACGTGTGTGTAGCGTGCAAGGAGACCGCATGTCGCCTGCTTGCATTCGATATCGGCATAGGGGTCCTGCACCTGGTGTGGGTTTTGGGCACCAATTGGGTAAATGACATGCACATCTCTAGCTCGGATCGACGGTAATTTGAACGCAGATGGGTACATTTATCTCACGTCCAGTGGCAGTGCCCTACCTTCGAGGCCGCCAAAGGCCATGTTCCAACAAGGTAATGCAAGACCACATGTTTCACATCTTGTTCTGACCTTCCTCGATACACTGGGTATTCGATTGCTGCTCTGGCCTGCACGGTTTCCAGATCTGTCACCCATTGAAAACATCTGGTCATTGGTTGCTGAGACACTGCCCCGCCAGCCTTCTCTAGCTAATACGGTTGATGAAGTATGGCATAGAATTGAAGCAGCATGGAATGAGTTGCCCATTTCTTTCAAGCCCAGTTTCACTCCATGCCTAATAGGGTAAGGGCCGTTTTAGCTGCCAGGGTTGACAGCTGTTTCTATTAATTTCGCACCCCTGTAAACCAAAATGCTTACAAATACAATCATTTTGTCTTCTTCATCATTTGTCATACGTGCAATAAATATCTTTTTTGTAATTGCTTTTCTTTAGGGTGTTGCAATTTTAATGATCAGCAGTACATATATATATATAAATATATATTCATTTGTCACTCCCTTGCTCAACTAATCCTTGTGAAATACCATGTTAAACGAAATAATGCTAATCGAATACGCAGGATGAATCGTAATTCATTCAAAATCTCAGAATTTATATTTCTCTTTAGCTTTCTACACAATTGGATTATCTGGACTATGGCAAACCACACTCATGCTCCATTCATAAACGATTGTATTTCCAGGGATTCGAAAAGGACGTTTTAGGTAGAACTTTCTGGAATTTATGCTAGGCATAGGGAAAATCATGAAAACTCTCTTGCTCCAACCCGTTCATTGGGATTCACCAGTTTGAATGACTAGCAGTAAATTTAAAGATATGTAATTTTTCTCCTTTTGTTTATGTCTCTCAGTGCAGGCATGCTATTTGCAAGTATTTGACCTAACAGCTGAGCTAAATTCAGAAATTATACAAAATGCTTTGTGAATGGAGGAAGACATTTTTTTATCCATGAAATAATGCTTTCTACTAAACTGTTCTTACCATGAACTTGACTGCAAAATATTGCTAGGTTGACTAGGCATATCACCTAACAATGCTTGTAAAATAAAAGCTATATATATTATCAAATAAATGATGGAAAATACTAAAACAAATAAATAATACATTTTAAATGTTAAGTGCATTACGAAAAGAAAAAGAATTTCTTTACTATACAGCATGTACCTCAAAATGTTGTTTTTGAGGTATGTATGGATGAGGGCTAGTAGATCTTGACATGGCTGCGGGTGAGTTAATCTCTAATTTGATCTGCTGAAAATTCATTGACAAGATATCTGCTGTGCAAAAGGTAGAAGGAGTTGACATGTTAGATGGGTCAGCAACACTGATTTCTGAAGTGTCTTTCTTAAGAAAAGTGTCTAAATTTGTCTGAAAAGATTTTTTCTTTCATTGTAAATAAGGCAATAGTATTATGTGGGATTGTGCACAGCAGATTTATTTCAGCATTGTTTTCTATATTCTATTTTGACTTAAAAAAATTCATTTTTTGAGAACTATTTTGACTTACAAATTTCACTTTTTGGTTTGTTACTATATGTAAAATTATGTTAAGAAGTGAGTGTCTGTATTTATTTCTTCAGTGATGTTATTACTTATATTTGATATTACTGCTTTCTGTTTCTCCATTACTGGTCGCCATAAAAATGGATGGTACAAAGATATTAACTTGAAAAATGAAAGCTGACATGAAATGAATGCGACAGAAACTAGAAAATGAACTAAGATATTTTATCAATAGCTATGTATCATATTCACTACTGTCAATTAAATAAAAGCTAAACTTTTTATATGAATATCAACTAATATCAAAATGCATAGTGTTGGACATAATTATTTTTAATATAAATAACCTTAATTCAGAACAGAAAATATGGGAGACTTAGAAAGTCAAAACCACAGCCAGAAGCATTAAAAAAAATGAGAGAGTATTAACTTGAGTATTCTGGAAAATATGAGTGAGTTGATCCCTCTATTCAAATTATTTACATCTGATCTCGTGCAAGACATCAGAATAAGAGTCGGGGTTACAATGAATGAGGAATGTTGTACATTTCACATATGTAGTTAAAAAAGTAATAAGTAATTCATAAAAAATATGTGACATTTTAATATCAAATGAAAAATTGAGTATTAAATATCACAAAATATCTCATATCAGAACATAGCATGCTGAAAATCTGTGTAGTTTCCAAGGGTTTACATCATAGTCAATAAATGTTTTCTTCCTCACTTCGATACATTTTACTGTAAGCTGCACAAATATAATTAGAATATATAAAAATAATATAAATATATATATATAAGCATTTTATATTCAATTAATACAGCAGAACCAAATGTAGCAGCCTTAAGAAATTTCACAAATGAAATAATTAAAACTGTTGTGAATCACTCTCATTATTTTGAAATGTCTTGCTGTAAATATAAAATTTAACAAACGAGTAAACTCATTAAGCTAACACAAGAACCTCTTTAGATGGCTTCAATAAGTACCTTTTCCACTTAAAATGATTTATTAACGGCAGCATGTTTTTATTTAATACAGCTAAGACAATATTTTTAGAGACGTTACAATTACAACTAACAATAGATATTTCCTGATTTGTACGATCGTTTTCAAGGATCTGCACATACTTTTTTTTTTATCAAATAGGTTCCCGGCAGCACAAGGAAAGATCATAGGCACTTCAAAGCCATTGCATGCCTTTCCCAGTAATGTGTGTTGTCATGACAGGTCAGCATTTATTTTCTCCACTTCATTTGAGATTAGTTCAAGTCAGCCTTCACTGTGTCCTTTTCATGAAGCAAAGCACACTAAATAGAAACGGAGCAAAAATGAAGTGACATGATCTGTCTGCTGCAGCTGCCATTCCCATGGTTGTAAAGCAATTAGGATTTTTGAAGTAGTTAACATGAAAAAATGAGAATGCCCTCTCTGGGACTAGAACCTGGACCTCTCGAATACGGGCGGAGTGTGCTACTGTCACACCACAAAGACATGCCGAAAAGAGGGAGAACATTCCTTATATGATTTCATGACAAAATGAGCAGGGGACTCTAACATAGGCAATGAAGCTGTTTTAGAAAATGAGTGAAATTATTTTCTCTGTGAAGAAATTAATCTTCTTTTAGATAATGGCCTTAATCAACCTGCTATGATAAATGACATATAGAAGCTTTAAAAATGTACTACTTTTGCTTCCATCAAGGAATCCCCCAAACCTTCAAGACCAGTCATTCAGAACTCATTTTTGAATAAGCAATAACACTAGTTTGTACAGCAGAATTCTGATAATATCCAATCATTTAATCTGTGAATAAACTATTGGTGAAGTACTGTTCACTTGTTCTTGTCCTGCCCAGTAATTTTTATTCAGTTATATTTTGACTGATGAAATGAATTAATTCTATTGCCTAAGTCATTTAGGTTTTTTCTGCACTCTCATTTTTATTCAGAACTGAATTTTGAATTCATTATTGAAATTAATTAAAATTGTGAATCTCAGCAAATATCTGTGTCAGATGAATACGTATTTCTGGTGTAGTTCCATTTTTTAAAAAATATTAATCTTGAATATATGTATCAATTTTAAAATTATGTGGCATACATCAAGTATTTATTTGTCCACATATTTTTAGATATTGCATTCAAATAGTTTGCTTCACAACTTCAATATATTATGCACAATGGGCATGCATGTTTACATCAGTAGTCAAATAGGGAAATAATCTCGAAAATAGCACTTGTAAAGGTATTTGGGTATTAAAAATGGAAAATCTGGTAGAGAAAAAGGAGGGCTACAAAATGGAGAAATTTTATTTCAAAAAATCAAAACTTTCAGCTCTAGTATTTTTAGCAGCATTATTCAGTTGTGCATATGTAAAATATTGTGGCAGAGTTAACGCGTGCTTTTGATTTAGGAAAATCTTTCCCTATTGTGGGATTAATAAACAAGATTGCTTTTCCTTCGATTTAAGAGAATAAAGGTTCTTTTGAAAGTAATTTCTTTAGCTGACATACCATTTTTTTACATAAAATTTATCAATGAATTTACTTTTACATTTTTAAAATTTTCTATACTTCATCTCTCTATTGCATTTTCTCCTTGTACTGAATTTATTTTCTTTATATGTACAATGAATTTATTTATTTATATATATATATTTTTAAAAATCATACTTTTATATTCAATAAATCTTGGTTAAACAATTTTACGTATGTTTAAGTTGGCTATTTAAGCGGGAAAAATCTACACTTCATAATAAAAACTGGAGAGGCGAAAATGTAAACAAAACTCAGAAAAAAGTTACATACAATATGCACAATTCACTAATCTTCGAAACTCTTGGTCCCGAAATGTGTGGATTATCGAAATTCTATTATACAAGTGATAATTCTCATTTCTGTGAAATTATACATGAAAATCCCTTTTTATCCATATATATAGTATGTGAAAGATATTAGAAAGAGTGTGTATAAGGGTTGAATGAGAAAACGTTTGCCTCAATGTGCAAACGACTGAATTGTGTAAAAGCCAGCAAATACTAACGGTCCTTGATGTTACTGTAGCAACTCAATGTTAATTACGCTTGACGAAAATATTGGCAATACAAATAAGTCACCAAGGACATAACCTTGAAATATTATCGATTTTATATCAGCATCATATATTTTTACCGCATGAGTTTTGAGCCGAATGAGTGTCCTTTGCGGGAATTTTTGATTTATCACTTTAATTTGAAGAAATCTGCAGCTGAGGCACATCTATTGCTTGTAGAAGCGCATGGTGAGGCTGCCTAAGTGAGAGAAGTTGCCGTGAGTGGTTTCAAAATTTTAAGAACGGTAAATTTGGTGTCAAAGACCGTACCGGGAATGAAAGGACGAAGGCGTGGACTTGGAAGCATTGTTTGAGTGAAGATTTGAGTCAAATGCAAGCAGAACTTGCACTTAGACTCAAAAAGCAGTTTCACATCGTTTCAAATCATTGAGAATGATTCAAAAGCAAGGAATTTAGGTTCCAGCTGAAAAACATTGAAGGTCGATTTTTTACATATGAAATGCTGCTTGTCAAACATAAGACATTTTTTTTGTCACTTGATGTTCTGCATTCTGGCCACGCTGTTGCTGCTAGCGTAATCTTACAACTATTTGGCCGTATTGTTATGTACCTCCTAGTATCCACTGGTGATCTTAAATAAGGGCCCACTATGTTAGTTAATGCTGTGCCACTTTGGATGGTTCATTTTAGTTAGTATTAGATTAGTTTCTGATTTTTTATCTTGAGTTAAAGCCCAAGTGGAGGTTTATTGCAAGCTCGAGAAGGGAGCCATTTAATAACTTATTTTTAGTTGGAATAAAGGGTAAATTTAACAATTCTTTGGACTCCTCACTTACAAGAACTTAATGAATAGTCGTTATATAATCCTAGCTCTCAAGGACTTCTAATTTAGCTAGGGTATTACAGTATAGTCACTAGTGATAAAAATGGATCCGCTATGATAATACAAAGAAGAGCATAAAAGAATAAAAGACAATATCATGAAGATTTATCTTAAAAAAAAAAAAAAAAAAATTCAAAAATATGTATTTATTTACAATATATACATTTTGGCTGCTGGAGTCATCCATGATACACTCCAGCAGCTAGTAAGAGATTTATTTCTCCATGTAAAATGAAGAGATAATACTGACATAGATTTTATAGGGAAGGATCCCAAGAGGTGTATTGACCCTTCACAAATAAGAGATATTGTTTTTTAAAAACATTAACAATATAATCACTTAATAACACAACTAAACAACGTCATATTCATGGAAAAGGAATTGTGTTGTGTGTATGGTTGGATCAACTTAATGTCATGTATTATGAATTGCTCAAACCGAAAGAAACCATTACTAGGGCTATCTACCAAACACAACTTATGAGACTGAGCCGAGTACTCAAAAAAATATGTGCCCCCTCCGACTCGACATGACAAAAAAATTATTCTCCAGCATAATTATGCTCATCCACAGGTTGCGAAGCCAGTCAAAAACCTACTTGGAATGAGAAATTTTCCCCCACCTCCTGCATTTACCAGATATTGCTCCTACTATTATTACTTGCTTCGATTGATGATGCATGGCCTGGGTGAGCAGCACTTTACGTCATATGCAGATACCCAAAAAATGGGTTGATTTATGGATAGCCTTGAAAGAGGAAGCGCTCTTCGAATGCAGTATCTGTATGCTGCCAGAAAGATGGAAAAACATAGTGGCTAGCGATGGACAATACTTTGAATAAAACACAACATACCATTCTTTCACAATAAATGCCCAATTTTTTAATAAAAAACGGCAGAGACTTATTTGTACTATTAGTATCAGCATATGTGCAAAAATTGCATAAACAAACATTTGCTTCTGAACTTCAGACAACTGATTTTCAGTCCTACATTTATTGTACAATAGTTACTCAAAAGCACCCAATTCCTCATTTTAGAAGAATAGAATGGGACTCCTATGCAAAATGCTCAACTTTGAAAAATACAATTTTACTTTTACAACCAAGCTGTTGAAGTAATGTAGTTTCAAAATATCTTTGAAAATTTCACGATAAGAACTTATACAATATAAACAGCGCATGCTAAATCTTGCATTTAACTACTGCAGAAACTAGGAACATTAAAATTTTATATTGGTACATTCTTGTGGGTTCGTGTATTTAGAGCGATTAACGATGACAGTTGATGAAACATCAAAACACAATTTATTTAGCCATTTTTACTCAGGACAGTTCCAAAATCACGTTTACAGTCATCGAAAAACTACTATAAACAAGCTGAAATAATCAGCAACACAGCCTCAAGCTATAACAATGAAGACAGCTTAACGGCAAAACACCAGAGTACAGCTCCCGATTCGGTTGTTCCAGGAACTCAACGTACTCTCGCGACTCTCCACGCTACAATTTGTAAGGCAAACAATTGCCTCAACGATGCACACTCTCGATGACCAACTCCACATAGACTCAATATCGACTTGATAGACTATGAAACACTCCCTACTCTGTGTACCAGCAGGGTTATACAGAGTGTCCCGGAAATGTTACGATAAATTTCTCGGAGGGTATGGTACATCATAAGGATTAAGAATTGCATAGAAACCCATGCCCAGAAATGTCAGGGATAAGTGATAGCAGAGGTAGAAGATGGGAAAAGAAACAAGAGTGATTAATTTGAAACACTTATTGGACATGAATACAAATGGTGTACAACAGCTTGAATGTCACAACAGATGCTCGAAGTTTGCACAATCAGACAGATAACATGCGTGATGCTGACAGACCATTTATTGCTGGACATGTTCAAACACACCAGGAGTTTCTTTAATTGTAGGAGCTGCATAGGCGGGTCTTGCCACAAGATGCATTTCATTATCCTCAGTTATACCATACACTAATTGCATGTCTGCAAGCTCCCAGCTCATATAGTGTTCCATGCTCTTCGTATGGTACCTACCAGTCAAATGAGGCAATCCTCACTTTCCACTAGCACTTCTCTTGTACAGCACCCCCTGGTGGTGTACAATGATGTTTCCGGGCATGGGTTCCTATGCAATTCTTCATCCTTATGATGTGCCCTACCTTCCCCAGAAGTTTGTGGCAACATTTCTGGGACACCCTGTATAGCTTTCGGACTGCCTTCGAGAAAATTCTGGGACAAACTGGTAAGAATTCATTCTAGAATGTTCACCATCCGTCTTTGGCATATCGCCAATTTTGTCACCAAATGGGTGATTTCATGCCAAATCCTTGCAATTCTAAAACCCACCTTGCGGGGAATCTATTGTACCACGGCTGGACAGTTTGTAACAATATTTTTGGCTACAGAAGCATTCAACTACAATCATTGGCATCCTTTCTATTAAAATGAATGTTGTATGCATAATTGCACTCTTCTCTTTATTCTTTAATTACAAGTTTATGGCTTCATTTGTTAAAAAGTTGTTCATAAATTTATGGATATAGTAAGTTGGATCACACCATAGTTTTAAATTTTCATAGCACTTTATCTTTACATAAAAATTTAATAACATCAGAAAATAAGCTGCAATTTTTTTTTCCCTGTTACTAAAATTTGAACTCGTAATTCAAAGAGATAGTAAAAAATATTATTCTTTCATGCGAACAAAATGCAGGGATTAAAAAAAAAATACTCTCTGCACTACTGATACACAACAACTAAAATATAAAAACCACTGCAAATTTAAAACTTTATTTACTTCAATAAGAATTTAATTATTGTTTTAATAATATATAATACAAAATACAGATAAAAATACTTAACTCGTAACAAATTCGTATAATATTACAATATATATATATATATATATACACAGAATTATTTTTAAAAGATGTAGTACTTCTGTTACAAAATGCAAACTACAAATTAAATGATATTGATTTTACAGTTATATAAATAATGATCATTTGATCTTAGATAGAGCTGCTACTCTCTTTTCAGAATTTTCAAAAAAAGCCATTATCATATGTCTGACTTCTTCTGGTCTAAAGTGTGTTGCCAAGGAACCTTTCCCACCAGCCCACCGATCAACAATTTCTTTCATAGTAGCACATAAAAGAAAATGCATTTCCTGAAATTTGGTGAGACTTCGCACATAAAGATGCACAGCATTACTTCTGTTTGTAGAAGAGATCTGAAATTATGTAAAAGAAAAAAGCATACTTAAATTCTTTTAGAGAGGAATAAAATCTAATACTTTCAGATTTAAAGACATAACACCTAATTTATAAAACGAAAAGCATAGCATAATTTAAATAGAAAAAAAATTAATTAACTTACCATATTTCTGATGATTTTTGATAGAGGAAAATATGATTTTTGTGGAAAAAAGGTGATTTTAATCATTTGCATGTAAAAATTGTGGGTTGGAAATTACTTCCTATGAAACAGCTTTCAAATATTTGATATATCAAATCAATTAAAATTAATTTCAAACTAGAAAATTCCTTGATAAAGTATTAAAAAAAATCATAAAGTTTTCAATATAATATATATAAAAAAGTTGCAGTACACCCTAAGAATTTTCTTTAATCTTCAAGGGATAGTCTTAGTAAAGTCTTATTACTGTCAATATTGACAATATATATGTATATGAGTCGGGTGCTAAAATTACAACACTGTGAAGGTAGTATTTGATAAACTTGGAGGGGGAGGGGAAAGAGAAAGACAGTTCTATACCTCCCATTCTATTGGGCTATTCAAATTGAATTTTTCATGTCTCGAAAGCTCAACTTAGGATATATATTAGATTTATATATATAGAATTAACCTAATACAGGTATTCTGACACAAAATCAGACCTTTTCTGAAATGACATGCCAATTTTTTTCCATATTTCGATTCTACGACTTAAATTATGCCTAAATATTAAGTTTTGTAAAATTTGGGGTGAAATTTATGGAGAAATTCAAAAATTTATCTTTGCACAATTTTTCAGTTTGTGCCAAGAATAATTCACTTAGTAAACTTCTTAATTTAGAGCAACCTATTTTCCTTTCCAGTTTTTTCATTGTACACGAGTGGAAAAAAAAAGGTCATCGTTTATACTTTCAAATAATTTTAACAAAGTGCATAAACCACATTAGACGTTATTATCGCTTATAGCAGTGTTTCTTAACCTTTCTAGCGAGTCGCACCCCATTGAAAAATGAGTTTTAATTTTTTTAGTCTAGAAAAATACATTTTTTGTGAAACTTATTGTTTATTAAAAAACACTGTACATTTTATATAAATACAAAACAATATTATTTTTATTAATGGCTAGTCTGTTGTTGTTTGTTCATTATTATACTGGCGAAGCGGGGTTCCTTTTTTGAAAGATATACACGTAAGTCACTTGCATTTAAGCAATTTCTCGCTTTAGTTTTTATATGCAAAAGCGATGAAAATCCCATTTCGCACAAGTAGGTGGTAGCAAAGGGTAAGAGTAACTGCAGTGCTCCGTTCGCCAACTCTGAATAACGTTGTAACTGTGAACACCAGAATTGTTGCAATTCTAATCGTTCGAATTCCATTTGAACATGTCCACTTGCTCGCATTTCAATAAGTTGATCTTTTTTCAGATCACTATAATCCATCAAATTTAAGTCAAATAGAAATGGATCCAGTATCCATCTCTGAGTTTTAGTAATATTTCCGGTAGAAAAATATCCATTGTCTCAAATGTATTACAATGTCGGGTATAATTGTATTCTTTTCATTTTTCGCAATCAATCAATTGAAATCAAGCAATTGAAAGTTTGCAAAATTCCCCTTTTCTGCTCGACGTATCCAAAATTTCTAATTTTGCGATAAATGAAGATAATTTTTCACTAGATATTATATTTATACCAAATCCTTGCACTGGTAGATTCAACTCATTTAAATGGCTAAATATGTCTGCTAAGCAGGCCAACCTCAGCATTGCATCATTTTACTCTTTTATTTTACTAAATAACAGAAACAGTAACAAATAAAATCTAATAACAATCTAAATAACAGTAACAAATAAAATCTTTTACTAAATAACAGTTTTGGCTAGTCAATAAATGAATAATTTCCTCACGCAATTCAAAAACTCTGTTAAGCATACGACCCTTAGATAACCATCGTATTTCGGTGTGATATAGGAGCACGGTATGATCAGCACAGATTTCTTTGCAAAATGCACAAAAAATGCGATGATTAAGCGCTCGCCCTCGGATGTATTTTATTACATTTACTGCTGTAGGTAGATGTTGTTTAAACTTTCTGGCAATGCTTTTGATGCAAGTGCATGACGATGCAACAAGCAATGCGTTATTATAACTTCCGGTAATTCTCTTTTCATGCGTGAAAAAAATCCTGAATTTTTGCCTAACATTGCTGGTGCTTCACCAGTGCATACTGAGCCAATCACATTCATTGATAATTGATATTTAGTAAAAAAATCTTTGATGCGATTGAAAACATCAATTCCTCTCGTATTCACCTCCAGTGGCTCACAAAATAGAAATTCTTCTATCACCTCTTTTTCCTTCACATACCTGACAAATACCAAAAGTTGGCTACAATTATCAACATCAGTTGACTCATCCAGTTGCATGCTTATTTTTAGTGGACTGATTTTTATGTTCTTCAAGTTACTTGCATTAAAATATCTTTACCTGAGATCTTGTATTCACGCTATCCTATAATAACATTCGATAATGGAATCTGTTGGATTTTTTTATGCGCTTCCGAATCTAAAACTGTTTTAGCAATAATTAAAGCAGAAGGTTTATTCAACTCTTCAGCGATCGTATGAGGTTTCTTCTTCTTCTTCTTTTTTTTTTTTTTTCACATAAATATGCCACTTGATATGACGCTTCAAATAAAGGATATGACGCTTCACATAAATATGCCACTTGATATGACTGGTCTGCCCAATTTTAGGATAGTTTCCACTGGTATCAAACCGAGCCTTCTTTGACTTCAAGCTGTTCATGCTATGCGCTTTTTCGCTACCATGCAGATTGTTGAAATGCTCTAATAACTTTGATGGTTTGAGATTGCTGTTTGAAAATATATTGGAACACAAGATGCATCGCGGTCGTTGCGTGCCATCTTTTTCGATTGTGCAGGTAAATCCATAACCGGCATACTTACCGTTCCATTGTGGTTTTTTTCTTGACATAGTGGGGTTCACTATAATCGATTTAATTATTTAGAAATAATGTAAAATTATATACATAATGTTCTTACATTTGTAATATCACTGAATCCTATTCGGCTTGAACGGGCAATTAAGAATGTATTAGTCTCGAGGTTTCTGGACAAGTCAGAATACACAATACACATGTTGCAGACACAATAGTTGACTCAACCTAACACAGACGCAGTAAGAAGGCAAATACAAATACTGTTGATATCCGTAGATTCCAACAGGAGTAGCACATATTGAACTCAGCGCATGCGCAAGCTGGGATAACGTTCTCCGCTTGTATTCCCACAAAGGTTTTTTTCTTTCTCCGTCACCTAGCTGCCTGTTTGCGTGCTCGTTTGTAGCGTTTCATGCCGTTTCGTAGCGTAGCGTATACGCCTATCGGCAACGGCTCTTTCCTGTGTCTTTTGCCGATAAGTGAGCTAGGTGCTACCAATTTTTACGAGCTTCGATATTGGGGACACTATTGCAGATTTCAAATATTTTATTATAAGAAATTTAATAAATGATATTTAAGGGGCTTCTCTCGCACCCCCAGTTAAGAACCACTGGCTTATAGCAAACATGCCAAATTTCAAAATGTACCAATATATAAATTCACGCATACCTTTGGAAAGTTTGAATAAAAAACTCTTCTTGCAGGTATGCTTAGAAATACATCTACTTTAAGCTGATGGTAAAAACTTTATCGTTTATCAAAATATTTTTTGAAAAATTTATAAAAATTATTTAAAGTACAAATTAAAAAAATAAATAAATAAATGTACGAATTATATTTGTATTAAGCCCAAATTTTAAATTCTGAAAGAAGGAAACAAGTACGTTTAATAAAAAAAAAGAGATATTAATAAATATATATTAAATTCAATTAACATTGAGGAGCTAAAATTTTGAGAGCTAATGTTTTAAGAACTACTCGTGCGGTTTTTACAAAACTTAGCAGTTGAGTCGTAGAATTGAAATATGGAAAAAAAATTGGCATGCTGTTTCAGAAAAAGTGATTTTGTGTCAAAATACCTACATTAGAAAAATGCTATTTATAAATCTAATACATATCCTAAGTCTCACTTTTGAGACATTAAAAACGTAAGCTGAATTTCATCAATTAATTGGCCCAGTAGAACAGGAGATATAGAACTGTCCCCCCCCCTTTTTTGACACAATGTACATGATAAAAGGGCAAACTTCAAATCATTAGCAGTGCAGCATGTGCACAAATAATGCCTCTAAAAGCATGGTAAACGAAAATTAAATGGTTTTTCATACCAAAATGATATTTGCTTGTTATTTGTTCATGCAGAAAACTTAACTATATCTCATGTATTTGTACGTCTATATATCTCATGTATTTGTTAATATGAAAATATGTATTTATTCATGACAATTAAGTATGCAAGAAGATGAAATTCAAACATATTGTTGCATGCATCCAAGGTTTGTTACAGATTCAATGCACACAGAATTGATGATAGCTTCAGAGTTGCCACCCTACCTGGAAAACCAGGAAAAGACAGAGTATTCAATAATTGACCAAAAAAAGTCAGGAAATTTAGATATTTCAGTCAAAATCTGGAAAGTCAGGAATTTCATGTGGCAATCCCCAAAAAAGCGATTTTTGCGCCAATGTTGGAAGCGACCTTTTTCTTGGTGAATTATGTATTGCATGAGTGTCATTTGGGCAGCCGGCGTAGAGTCAATTTTCACAGTTCCAATCAGATAGTCTTTTAGAAAGGCAAAGCAAGTTGCCAGCAACCTCGAGAATTCCCATTCTTGTATAAAACAAAATTGGTTTAAGTATTTGGTATGCACATGATTTGGTGACATTATGACGATCAGTAAACCGGACATTTATGATGACCAGTAAATGGGTCATTTTGGTATTGGTGACAATTTTCAAAATCGTGCCAAGGCCGTACCGTATACTAGGATTTTATCACAAAATCTTTTAAACCTTTTTTTTTTCTTTTTAATAA